TGAATGATATAACAATGTAATAAATAATATAATAATCACTGATTAGTGAAGCCAATAAATATTCAAAGTTGTAATCAATGCTCATGTATATTGATTCATTCATTTCGGTTATTCTTTCTTCATTAACTCCGTGAGAATTAATTTAATTCAATTTGTTCAAATATAAGATATATTTGGTATAATAAGTCAATCAAAATCAAATCATGATTAACTTCAGAATCATTAATTATGAAATAATCATACTTTTAGTTATGCTTTATTCAGTATTTTACGTAGTATTATTTTTAATTATTAATTAATTAAAAATAATACTAGTACTGATACTATTATTTATTTTGTAGTATTTTTTTTTTAAATACTTTCATTTATAATAAAAACGCTTTTGTAAGTTAATAAGAAATTTTTGTATATCACAAGTAGTGCTGTCAGTTTGAAGAATTTGTAAATTTTGCATCAAATGCTTTACTTTTGATATCTTTTAATTATGTTGGATATTTTCTCACGAATGTGTATTTTAAGATACAGTAAAATAATATTTCGTTGTTTCATGATACAAATATATACTTTAGTGTCTTACTTTATAGGAAGAGTTTACGAATTGTGTGTTGATGTTACAAAATATGTGATATTTTGGCTCCTATAGATTGAAGTCGTTAAATTTAATTGTCATAATTTGTACAGATTTTCGATAATTATCTTGCATAAGTATAAAGTTTTGTCCTATTAATTATATGAATAATTGTATAGAGTGTATGTGTTTTTTTACAATGAAGTATTAATTTTGCACTTGGGTTTCTCTTTATACAAACTCGTCGTTTCGATGGCATTTCTTTAAATTACATATATACACATATTATTAATTTTGTCTTTTTTATGTCATATATGATTTATGTAAATTTATGCAATTTATGTAAATGTCAATATTCCAGCTGAATTACATGAGCTTTCTACGACAAATGTTTGTATAACAAAATTATGCATAATGCAATTTATGTCATTAAAATTGATGATTGGGCGATTAGCTAAACATTTATTGAAGTAAAATCAAGATATTGCTACAAACTAGGATGTTTCAAAGCTTAGTGTTGCTGTATAGTACTGTATAAAGGCTACAAATAAAAGTAAAACTGAAATAACAAAAAGGATACAAGTACATATTTCACTAGAAAGTTATAACAGAAGTATAAAACGAAATTATGTGTACGTTTCAAAATGTCACTCCCTCAGTGCACAATCGAAGTTGCACTATTGAATATACTGCAGAATTTTATTTTATCAAGTTTCTTCGAAAATGCAGTTTTGATCCTTGTATCAATTTCGTGTAACTTTGTATTATAAACATTTGTTTTCAAAGATAGTGAATATTTTTCCACAAGTAGAAATCTGAAGATGTTAGGGTCTGATGACCTAAGAGTGCAAGAGATTGGTTCTTTTCTATTGTTGAAATTGTTCGTATCGATTCTGTCTCGTATTTTTATTGTAACTTTGAATCATTTATGAACTTTTTGCACATTGGACATTTTACTCTTATTTTCATAGAATCCACAGGCAGAAGTTTGAAACATCCTGCATAATTCACAGCGGAATACCAATGTAATTCAATAAACTTTTTGCTTCAATAAGTGGCACCTAATGATCAATATGTATAATCAAATTAAACAACCAAATCATTCGAGGAAATTGCGATAAATATTGAATGTGCATGAATTGACAAACTGAGAAATTGAATTTCATTTCATCTCGAATTTTGCCCAGCTAGATTGGCGATCCCTGCACACTACACGACAGACAGACAGTTGTTTCAAGTCGCTATATTTAATTGCCTTAAAATTACAGATACGATTTATATATTAAAATAATTAACGTTACACCGCGCGCAATCTGTACGGATCGCATTTGGAATCTTTCAGAAAAATACTCCCTAGAAAAAGACAGATTTTTTTTTTTTTTTTTTTTTTTTTTTGCTCTCTTCTCACTCACGCGTGCTCACATTCGTTTAGATTATCTTCTCTTGCCGTTCTTACTATTTAAATTAATGCTCGAACGATTTCTTAAGCCCTGGTACTAACGATACCGAAAATACTTTTTTTTTCCCCCTTTATCATACCATTTGTAATTATGACCTGTTTTACAGAGTATCTCGAGTTGAAAACGTCAATATTTCGACAGCGTCTAGAGCGACTGATGAACTATGGAAAAAAGTCCTCAGACACTTTTGCTCGAACTTTAGCGAATGCAAGAAATAATTTTCTCACTTGTGTGGTCAATTTGTTCGATTCCAATCAACTGAAGGAAGTAACTGAGAGGTCAAATCGTACCAAATTGAACAATGTCTAATAATTGCAATTACTAACTTTTTTCATTGATTCATTAATACAATCTTCAGATGATTTACGTGATTTTCCCTGGAGAAATGGAGCAAACTTTCAAAGGGCATTTATTAGTCACCTGCACGCTTTCCAAGTTGTGACGTTTAAATTCGGGACACTTTGTACATCGAAAAATGCCAGTGCGCTGTATGGAAATTTTTCATTCAAACGAATTTTCATTTAATTATCATCGAAAATGTAGATGATGTTTTCAGGAAGCTCTCGTACGTTTAGAAGAGAATGTCGACAATTTTTCATCGAGTATATGGAAGCTTTCTGGACAATCGGTTCGACTTACCTTTCACAAATTAATCGATAATTGAACTTTTGTACAATCTAAAAATTGAATCTAACTTCGTGCATTTATTGAAGCCTGTCGTTGTCCGTGTAAATGAACAATTGAATCGGTAATTACGAAACTATAGTAGAACATCGTTTACACGGATCCGTGCCATTCGTTAAATGTGCTTATGATTGTATAATACAATCAATGTTATAAATAAATATTAAACTGTTTACTTCACCCTGATGAATTCATATAAACGAAGTTCCACTGTACACGTACGTATGAAAAAATTTACACGTTCGTCTCGATGGTACGCGTTAAAAAAAGTTCACCTCTAAACGGGAAGATTTCACAACTGTCGCGATTATTTATTTCGTACGTATCGAGAGAGTAAAAATTTTGCAGGCGTGAACCTGTATGATAACATGATGCAAGACAAATCCATAATGAAATGTAACAGCAACATCATCATTCAGCTACGGTAAGTTTTAATCGAGGACTACTCTATATCTCGCGAGATAATGTTTCTAGAGTTTTTAAGTTTCTCTCGTTTCGAATGATTCTTCGTCGTTCAACGATCCTTCTCGCGACTTCAGTGGCAACAATTATGAAAGTCAATGATTTCGTTTACGAAGCAGAGCCCGGATTTCGTTGTAATCTCTATTCGACATTAGGTGAATCGTTCATTGCTCGATCTGTAAATGACATGTAAAAAGAGGTGGCTGTACCTTCGGAAACTTGCCTGAAATTTTGGGAATAATTTCGTAGAATGTATCGAAGATTTAGATTAGAATTTGCGATGGGAATAAGCAAATAATCGTCCTTATTCCAAATATTA